CCCCAAAACCCCAAAACCCCAAAACCCCAAAACCCCTTATGCTAGATAGAAAATTGAAAACATTCATATTAAATGGTTATAGAAGAAGCTTCTTTGGGTGCTTCTTAATCACTGATGCCATCTTTCTTCTCTTTTGCACCTCTGGAACCTCCTCCAATGCATAATCATCAATTGGAGCATGATTCTGGTGTATACTTGGAAAATACTGAGTTGTCATACCCCTTTTAGACTTCCTTATGCTTTTATTATTAAAATAATTTGCTGAATGTGCTGCTTCACTCATAGGACCGCCATTACCACCTTCAAAATACCTATATATTCTTTTCTCTTGCTGATCATTTCAAGTATTCTTGATGAGTTTGTCAAGGTTTTTCTCACCAAGAGTTTCCTTGATAACATCTAGGACTTCTTTTGATTTCTCTCTAACCTTTTCTGAAGCATCTTGTAGGAAAGAAGTCAGATAGCCCATAATGGAAATATTATCTTTGAATTTCAAAAGTTTATACCCTAACTTCTTGATCACTGTTTCTATAATGATTTGCATCTTGACCCTCACAGTCGGAGATTTTTGAAAAGTAAGCGAACCCAGAACATTCATGACCTTGTTCTCACTTCATGATTTTGTTACTGATATGAGAAGATCAGTAGCTACCTTAGAGAGGAATACGTTCTTATCAACTGCCTTTTTCATTGTAGCTGGGATTAGGTAATCAAGATCGTTATCTATGCGCTTCTTGAGCACTTCAGCAATATCTTTGAACCCAATGAGAGCATTTTTGGAAACACTGCTCCTCAAAGATTCTATTTGTTTAACCATTCCTTGAATAAAACCTTGAAGAAGGTACACATCGCTCACTAGAATATCTTTATGATGTAATACAAGCGCTCTTAATGAATTTCAGGCGTCGAATTGCTTCTGCCAATCACTGGATGTTAAGTCTTTATATACAATCTTCAAGACTTTATCAGGGTTCTTCAGAGGTTTTATATCATCTTTCTTTAAATACTTTCCTTCATCTTCTGGCTCTTGATCATTGCCTAGAAGCCTATTTATTCAAGCTTCTGCAGCAGCATTCATTTTCTTAGAGTTTAGTTTAAATTGAGTCATATTTCTCTTTTCTCTATCAATGACGCCCTTTTTGGAAAACGCATTTGATTCATACCTAGTTGGAGTCTCAGCAGAGTTCATGTACTATAGATCATAAACCAGGATAATTTTTACCTCAGAATAATCATGCTTCTTTCCATTAATAAATTTGCCTTTGTAGGTTGAGTCATGGGCCTGACTTTGTCCATCTGAGCTGTCTTCCATTCTACTTTTCATATTTATACTGTAGAGAGAACTCTGAGTCACAGAGTTATTGTTAACTCTCTGACTGACACCTGCACCTCTTCTTTTCTGGACTACATGGAGGAACTTGTTTCCATCTCCTCTGATGTTATTTGACCGAATAGTCTCCTTCAGGATCCTTAACCGGTCGGGTGAGGAGCTAGAAGACACCTTCTTGTTCAGCATGTAATCAGTATAGTTTGATACTGAGTTTTCACCATTACTCTTTGGCGAAAGCAAATCGGAGTAGCTATGGTTTAGTATTATTCAAGTACTTTGATGATACTTTTGTCACATCTGAAGGCTTCCTCTTTGCAGTCATATTTAGCTATACACTTTAAGAAAGTCCGAACTTACAGAAGTGGCTTTTGAAGGATTATTTCTAAGCTTAATCTTCCTATTTCTAATAGTGTTTGCGTTCCTTCTAACATCTTTGCTACTTTCTATGTAATCAGATTCCTCTTTTAGTAATATTGGGCTTTGATTCTTTGTATCAGATAGGTCTAGATTAATCGGTTAAATTTCTGGGAAGATTACTTTAAAAAGCTTAAAGAATACACATAGATTTTATCAGATATTTCTAATAATAATTTTCCATTAAACAAATTACTAACCCAACTGGCAACCATTCTTACTGATTTTAATCTTTGAATTGCCACTCATCTTGATCTTGGCTTGAGTGAGCTTCATCTTTCTCATTGGTTTTGGCTTCTTAGGATATTCAAACATTAACTTATTTTCATTAAAAGTGACCATATAGTTCTTTTCAAGGATTTCATTGATCTTGACATAGTCGTTATGAACAACTGTATCTCCGAGTTTCTTCATTATTTTCTCTGTGGAACCTTTCTTGGCAAACATTGCACAGGCTTCTCTCGCTACAAATCTGACTTTAGAGTGCTCATCAGTGACCAAGGATGCTAGAGACTCTACTGTTTTATCGATATCAAGAGATTTATCAACATCGCTGATCATTCAGATTATCAGAAGGTTTACGATTTCTTCCTTTAGCCTCCAGTTATCGGATATAATATTAGAAAGTGACTGTTCTACGAATGATTTGCTAGGCATGGACTTCATCATTGTGATAAATAGTCTCATAGCCTCTTGTCTGATTTCAAAAGTGTCTTCTCCCAAGAACTTTATGCAGTTTGTGAAAAGCATTGTGAGTCCATCCAGGCTCTGGATGCACTTGGTCCTTACCAGAATTCTAATAATCTCGAGGATCTTCTGGATTCACTCTCCTTTGGATAGTAGCTTAATGATAAAACTCAAGAAGGAATTCGATGAGTGGAATGTTTTTATCAAGTTTTTAGATGATCTTAAAAATGAAAGCATTACATCTAATAGTTTTGATTTTTCCTTAGGAGTTGCTCCCGATTTCAACAATTCCTGAATCGTGTTTTGAGGAAATATATTAAAGGCCAATCCATTATCTGACAAAGGGATTAAAGATTTGGATTCAACCTTCTTTTCCTCTTCGTCTTCAGAAGTGCAGGGGCTGATTTTGTGCAACTTTAATATAGAGAGTTTATGCTCTTTTTCATCCTTATTTGTACTTATTTGCTCTGTTCCAGCTCTTGAAGGGTTTCTCAAATTCAAATTTTTCGAAAGTCTTCCTTTCAGATCAAGATTTATAGTCAACTTCTTTGGAGAGAGCTCATGATCAGTCTTTGAAGATTTTATCAATTTCTTTGCATCATCTATAATTTGCTTTTCCTTCCTTTTATGAATTTTTGTTGTGATGTCCTTCATTGTAGCAGGAAATCTACCGAAGAAATCATCAAAAATGTCAGTAACCTCAGCGACTAGTGCAATCTCAGGACTGTTTTTCAGGCTTTGGAGAGCAGATATTAGATTTACAAACGATTTGCAATTCACTGAGATAACTTTGGGATGATACTCAATATATCTCTTAATCAACTGTAAGACCTTGATAACTGATACTGGTTGCTTAACTTTGATATATTCATCAATCAAGTAGTCGATAACTTTAGCTAGCTGTGAGTGGTTTCTCACATAATTATCAAATGCCTCTTCCGCGGCCTCTAAGACCTCATCTTCTCTTGTGAATAAAGTATCAAATAAGCTTGGTAAGAAGTGGTTAGTAAATTGCATCTCATGTTCATTTCTATGATTACTTTCTAAGAAAACATTGTGATAAAATTATATACCATGATTAAGCCTTGATCGTCATTGTTGGAAATGATGCTGAGGAATACCTCTTTGAGCTTAGGTAATTCCTCTATAGAGAGAATGCCATTATTCAGAGTCATATTTTTCTTTAATCCTGCAATATAGTTCTCAAGGTCCTCTTTAGATTGTACAGTTAGCAGTTCTTCAGATTCAGCAGCTGACATTTATTATAAAAATTATCAATTTTCTCATTGAAAATAGGGGTTTTGGGGTTTTGGGGTTTTGGGGTTTTGGGGTTTTGGGGTTTTGGGG